TTTGAAATTTGGTATGTAGGCTAAATTAGCGCTCCGTGAAACTTTATTTTCTACATTTAAATCTGCATTATTGTTTCGACGTTATAAGAAGGTTTTTTCCCATGATAAAAATTATTAGCTAAATCTAATGCATTTTGATGAATTTTGTTGAAGTACTTAATGATTCAATTTTCCCCTTAATGTTTTTTATAGATATTGAATAATTCTTATTAATAATAATAGTATTAAATTATTCTCTATTTTTCTTTAATATATTCTGTAGACATTGATAATAATATTGATAATTCTTATTTAATTATACATTTTATATTATTATCCCTTTTTATTCATTCATCTAATGTCTATATCCGCTGATTCTATAAAGAATAATGATGATATTTTATTTACAAATAATGATAATGTTTTCGATGAAATTCTTGAAATTGACTCTAGGCGACTTCGTGCACTTCACGAAATAGATAATGCAAATTTTCAATGGTTTCATATTAGGGCTTGTGTGGTATCTGGAGTTGGCTTTTTTGCGGACGCTTACGACTTGTTTGTCATAAATTTGGTTTCTACTATGATAGGTTATAGTTACTTTAACCATGACGGTGAAGTTCCAGCAAATATCGATATGGGATTAAAAGTGTCTGCTGCATGTGGAACTCTAGTAGGTCAATTATTTTTTGGTTGGTCTGCTGATCATTATGGAAGAAAAAAAGTAAATAAGAGTTAATCTATTGTGTATTGTCATATTTGATTATTGTTTAATCAGTTATGTGGTGATAATTTTTTGTAATAGATGTATGGTTTAGAACTATCATTAATGATCGTCGCAACGGTCGGCTCTTCGATGTGTGCGGATTCATTTGCTGTTACTCTTTGGGGCTCACTAATATTTTGGCGGTTTGTATTAGGTTTAGGAATTGGTGGCGATTACCCTTTATCAGCTGGTGAATGTTTTTTAAAATTTCAGATTTTGAGCCAACTTGTAATATAGTCTGTTAATAAATTAAATAATATTTTAATATTTCAAGTTATCACAAGCGAATTTGCAACGATAAAGAGACGGGGTGTAAGTAAAATTTTCGGCACATTAATTTTGAATATTTCAATTTTAATAAACGTCATAATTCTTTGTTACTATTCATACAGGCAATGATGGCTGCCGTTTTTGCTATGCAAGGTTTTGGGATTTTATCCGCGGCTATAGTATCAGTGGTTGCTTTGTCGGTCTTCAAGAACGAGATAATAGAAGATTTCAGATATATTGATTATGTGTGGCGAGTAGTATTGGGGTTTGGTGTAGTTCCGGCAGTTATAGCGTTATATTTTCGATTGACAATCCCTGAAACACCACGATATACGATGGATGTATTGCATGACATCGAAAGAGCAACTCACGACATCGATGTCCTATTAGTGAAGGATAGATATATTGACGCTAAACACAAACCTACTTATATAGTAGAAGCTCCTCGCGCAACGTGGAAACAATAATGCAGATTTAAATGTAGAAAATAAAGTTTCACGGAGCGCTAATTTAGCCTACATACCAAATTTCAAA